AGAGTTCCTCAGCAATTGCTGTGGAAACTGCAGGACTGAGGCACATCCAGCCACATGTGGGTTTTGGTCTTTGCTTCTTAACCAAGTTGGCTTTAAACTGGGAGGCTGCCAGAAAAAAATGAATCCTTCTGAAAGCCACCAAGAGACACGTACCCACCTGTATCCCTGAAGATAAGGGGCATCGTTCCTGCAGGGCACCGCGTTGGAAGGGGGCATCGTTCCTGCAGGGCACCGTGTTGGAAGGGGGCTGACACCGCGTCCCTGCTAAGGCCAGCAGTGAGGGGAGCACCATGACCTGGAAACATGGAAGGAGAGAGACAAGGTGCAGAGGAGACGGTTTAAGAGGCAAGGCACAGCCGTGTCACTGCACGACGGGAAACCAGGCTCGGGGCAGGGAGCTGCAATCAGTTCTTAGGCATCTCCCTGTGTTTTGATAATGCAAACTTGGATCAAAGCGCTTGTGGCGGCGTAACTGCAGCACAGCCTGTTTGCCTAAGTGAAAACTCAACGGACACGTCTCCAAAGCTGCTAAGCTGTGCTGCATGGACAGCTTGGGCTGTGCTAAAGTTTTCCTTCAGACAAACGATTGTTTTTTTCAATCAGATGTTTTGAACTTGTTAATTTTTATCTTGGCGCTAGGAACAAGCCAGCAAAGAACAGAAGCACCGGGTCCAAGGAGGGCACCCGCCGGGCCGCCGCGCTCGCCCCGCGCACAAGGAGGGCCCTGTGTGGGCTCGCGAACAGGCGGTGGGTGGTGCTCTGTGCTTCAGCCTCGGACCGGCTTCCTTAACCTGTGGGTTTAAAACTTGTTAGTTCGCAGGCCGGGCTGCTGGGGGGTCATGGTTCATCGCAAGAGAGTTGGCCGTCTCAGCGGCAGCAACAAAGAGGTGTCTGGTCCTTGGGATGAAGGAGGATGCTCCGGGGTGCCAGGGCAAGGGTCTAGTGCTGCCCCGGGGGAGCGCTGCTTTGGCAGACCTACGTGGATTTGGCTCAATGGGGCTGGTGGCCCCGGCCTGGAAGCAGACTGGGCTTGCAGACGGACCCAGCTCTGTTCCACCGGCACCCTGGGGCTGTCTCCGACGCGTTGGCCGCGATCCCTGGGCATGCGGATAATGCCGACTGCCTCCAGCTGCGCTCCGAGCGAGCCGGGAGAGGGCACGGGTGGGTCAGCGGAGCTGCTGCCGAGCGCTTCGGGCCCAGGTGGTGCCAGGGCCACCTTTAAGTATGGAAAAACTCCATTTGCGCTGGCACCAATGTCACACTGGAACAGCCCCGCTGGCACCCAGACCGCAGCGGCGCCGCTCATGGGGAGTGCAGGGCCAAAACCCCTTCTGGAAACTATTTTTCTTTACTCTTGCGAATTAAACGGTCCCTTTTGGCACTAGCAGGCTACAAGGGGCCTGTGGCTCATCAGCTGCCTCCCGGCTGATTTCCAAGGCATTTTCCAGCACTACATCACAGGAGCCAGGGATTATACCCACCAACGGCCCTTATCAGTGGCACTGATAAGAGCAACCAGGGAGGACGCAGGCTGAAATTTCTTATGTGCAGGAGCAGGGAGAGAAGAAACAACTGTCGTTCTTGTAAGGTTTCCCTGGGGGTCTCCTGTCCCACTCTGCTGCCCGGCCCCAACCAAGTGTTTCCCCGGCCCCACCGTGGCGACGCTGAGCTAACAGAGCGGCTGGTGGCCACGTTCTGCGGGCGCGGGGCCGGGGCCATGCCGGGTGGCACCGCGCGCCCCGCCGGGGCCTGGCGCAGGCGACGGGGCGGGCAGAGCTCCGCAGGATGAGGGCTGTGGAGGAGGGCTGGGGGTTGAGGGGCTGCCATGCGGCCTCCCCGGCGCCCAGGGCACCGTCCTCCCAACGGGGAAGGACGGGGAGCTCCGTGCGCGCCGCCTCCGTGCGAGGCCTCATGCTGCTGTGGTTGTCCCAGTCCACGGTGGCGGG